CCTCAGCAAACAGTTATGCGCTTTTAAAGTGGAGCCATAATCAATATTATTCAGTTACAGCAGGTAATTTAGTGTTAACAATTGGGTTGAAAACGTAAATTAGCCACCGTAAAGGGTGGTTATACTCTCCCACCGACGCAGCACCACAGTTTCTTTAGAAACTTACCCCTTTATTCAGTTACAGCTTGTGGCCTTAACATTTTTCTTCCATATAATTTTGCTGTGGAAGGCAAACCAAGAAGGTGTTTTATCTCCTAAAGCCTCTACCTGAAGATGTTTTGTTGTCTCTGTTCCTCAAACAAGTGAAAATAAATTGAATGAAGAAAATAGTACTATATTTGAAAGGCTTTCATGTGGGCTCCTTATTTGGTTACTGGCTATTTGGTTGTTGGCTACTTTGAGTGTGGAATACATGATAAAATGCAGGTTGTTTACAAGGAATTGACAGGTGGGGTGACATTTAAGGTAACTGACAATGAATTTGATTGATAGAAAATGTTTAAACACATGAGAACTGTATGGAAAATTGGCTTACCATAGCATTTACTTCCAAGTGAAATTAATTTTTTTAGGAAAGTACCATTTAAAAACAAGATGTAATTCATGGAAAACATTTTAAAGCAGTTTAATATAGCAGTTTTTACCTGAGTCAGCAAAACTGGCCCTTCCAAAACAAATGATCCAGTGGTAATTTAGTGTTAGGCCTTAAGCAGATGGCATGTGCATTGAGCGAAGAAACTGTACAGAAAACACATTTTAAATGGTAGAAAAATTCCCTGATAATATTTCTAACCACAACAGTTCATAGTGACAAAGTCATCATGAGAAATAGAGAGATGTGAGCTCTGGGTAGATGAGCTCACAATTCTTTGTTAAAATGTCACTCTTGGTGTGTGTCAATGTTGGGTTAATTTGATGGCAACATATTGAGGTGCCTTAATTTCATGATATGATTGGCATGAGAGACAATACACTGATTGGTGCAATCATACTTCAATGCTGTGCTCTGATTGGTGGGAGATAAATACCCTCATGCAAAATTCTGATTAGTGTGAGATACATACCCTATTGCAACTATGTGCCTGGAGTGAGCAATTTACCACAAAATGCAACACAGAGTTTTTTTTTACTAAAAAAAAATAACTCAATAAGGACTGTTAACGCAATTAGGGGTTTTTTATGTCCTACAAACAAATACCTATGGGAACTGCAGAGAACTTATGACCCAAGGAGGTCATAGAGGTTGCCAAGTTCAGTTGTGATACAAGCATCCAACCTGTCTTCAAAATAACTTAATTTAGTTTGATTTCAATTTGAATTGTAGTCCATTGGTACAACATTGCCAATTTATTATCCTAATTTGCAAGCCCACATTAGGGTTTTTTTGGACCCATAATGACAATTTGAAACTAACTGCAACTATGGAACAGTCCCATGAATGTATTAATGACTTCACTAAAATGCAGTCCAAATGGTTTGGTGACAAGGCAGACACTCAAAAGATTGGGTGTCCTAGGTTACTTTTGATATGACGTCCTTATTAAGTTCTTTTATTGGTGTCTAGATGAAAATATGTGTGGCTTAGCCAGAAAAAGGATGAAAAAAGCTTTAACTGGAGATACCAACCAATATATCTTGGTGGATTTAATTTTGAGTACCACCCCTTCAAACACCTTCTCCAATTTTCTAACCCAAGTCTCTTATGGCTCATTGCTAGTCAGGGCTTCCAAGCATCTATAAAACTGCCAGCTACACATACTATTTCACGTGCAGTCACTATGATTATAATGGTCACCTGAACAACAGATTATACAAGTGATGAACATACAAAATATTCATTTAATTTTTTTTTCATTTATTAAACTACAAGACTATGTGCTGATATATATCAAACATGATTTTTAAATCAAGAATGAGTGTATGAAGAAGCATTGAAGTGATTAAGTGGCCGATGTGTTGACTAGCTTTTTTTAACTTTTTAAGTAGCTTTTTACAGTTAGAATGAGCTAGTATAAAAAAGATAATTTTGGAAAATACAAAAAGGCAAGGATAAAATTTTACACTAATTATAATGGCTAGGTTTGGATAATAGTTCAACTATCAATATTTAGTGCACCAGTGGACACCTCATCTTTGTAATACAACACAACAACAATTAGTTGCAGATCAACATAGTGTTATATATCAATATTTTAAAATATAACATGGATCCAAGTATTTTACTGCCTTGAGATCAGGCTGATCTTTTTCCACATGGGACTACTGTGTATTTATCATTCAATTTGACCCTACAACTTTATGTTCAATTTGTACCTCTTTATATTCTCCAGATGTGACTATTGGAGATGAGAAGGCTTGAAAGAAATAATAAGATTAATGATCTATAAGACAGGAATCTAGGATTGAAGGTGAGATCTTAATAAAGTTTGCCTGTTAGTAATAGGTTTGGGCAGCTTGTCCCATTGCCATGTTTTCCAAGATGTAATGACTGATACATAATCTATGGATTTACTTGGATATTATTACACTCACTTAATCTTAACTGTGACTCTGATGAATGTGAATTGAAGAAGAGAGGTACAAACTATCAAAATTACAAAGTTGCTTTAGTTATTATTGTGTTGTTGTGGTTGAAGTTTTTTTTTTGGACATTTTTCAATGCAGTTTCATTTTCTTTTTTCCCTATAGAACCTATCTTTTATTCTTTATGACAAAGTAAAACAACAAATATGGAAATTGGCAAAATAAAACCCAGAAAGAGTTTTAGCATAACATTATCACATTTCAACAACAGCATACCTGTGCTTATATGAATTTGTCCTCTAAAACTGTTTTTTGAGTCTTCCTTTAATTCTTCTCTTAGCTTTGATGTCCACCTATTCTTTTTTTTTTTAAACTACTTCTATGCTTTATTCTTCTCTTCTATCATTCTGGACTAATATTAATTTGTAACACTGCTATCTTTCCGGTACAGGGTATTCTTAGTAAAAAAGGTTGACAAACAAACAAAACAAAATCTGAAGTTTTTCTACTTGTGATGGGTTTCCTCTCAATGAATTATGTAGATATGACTGAACTGAATTATTGACTGAACCATATTTGGTGTCACTATCATTTCTTCCTATTTCATTTTCTCCAAGTCTTCAATCTGTGTACCATTTAGCTATGGGTTTAGATTATATATTTCTAAAGTCACTACCTGAGGGTTTTCCAATTAATACCCCAAAATTAGCATAAAAAGGCAGTTTATGAATTGACTTACCAGAAGTCAATTTGCAGTTAAGTCATCTTGTGATACCAGAAATCTGAATGAACCGTCGCTCTTGAGGTGGAAATGTCAAACCGGACATCAATATTTAAGACACTTAGAAAATGGCTAATGATAAGGGTTGAAAATGTTGTCGAAGCCACTCCTATCAACTCAAATTGAACAACTCATCTCAATTTAAGTTAACATGTCTTACTAGAAAAAAAACTTAAAATATATTCATTAAGTTGCTAACAGGGAGGGTTGAAAAGGTTGTCAACTCAATTCAATTTAACTCGAATTGTAGATTCGGCAACCTGCTATGGAGTCAAATGTTGCCAAATCTACTTGATTCAACTCAAATCAGATGATTTGACTTCTTTATAGTCAACCAGTCATACTGAGAGTCTATATGCAAGGCACTTATAAAATATACTGCAACTTGCTATGGATGGACTTAACTAAAGATGAGTCAAGTCAAATCGAGTCAAGATTGGATGAAGCTTTATCTGTATTATCTTCCTCTGCAAATTGACTTCCAGCTGTTTTACGTTTTAAGAACAAGGAAGGTTCAGTTGCTCATGCCCTTTGGCTTCCAGTACGTTGATGCACATTTCAACTTCTGCTGAGTTGATTTGTTCATGTTGTCATTTTCCCATTTGCGCATGCCCCCTGCCTTCTGGTATGTTAACACACAATTTGACTTTCAATTAGTCAATTTGTCAACCACCATAGACAATTGAAGTCAAATTACCTTTCTGTCTTGATTTTAATTAAAGCAGATAAAGGAGAGTGATGTTATCTTATTGTGTGAAGTCTTCTTCACCCTTTAATATGTCAGCTATATCTTCGGCTGAAATATGAAAAAAAAATGTACGATTTAATAAAAGATCAGTTTTATGGTGAATTCTTCCTATATTCTTGACATTTCAGCTGCCTCTAAATGTAACTAAGTTTTTTTGAAAACAATATTTGACAATAACCACCACTGCTGAGCTGAGTCTGTCAGAGTGACCTCACTCTTTATTTTGATGTCAATGCAAAAGACTTGACAAGAGTTTTTGTCGTAAAACATAATCATGACTTTGTCGTACATGGCTTAGAGTTAAAGCTATATAATGAATAATTAAATGCCCATTTGAAAACTTTCATCTAAGCAGATTTGAATCTTGTTGTATATTGATCAAGTGTTATTTAGAGACTGTTAATTGCATGCCCTAATTGTTAAGGCCCAGTTGGAATTTTGCCTAATCCACCAAAATTTTTAATGTAAATTGTCATTTTAAGCTTGAGTTATGGTTAATCCTTAAGTTAACTATATTCTCACCAACAAAGAATTTTTCAAGCTCATTTATGACATCAAAGCGTTCAATGCTTTTCAGGGCTCTCAGGAAAAAACTCATGGTGAGGTCTGGTTTCTTCGCAACAATGTGTTTCATCAGTAATTTTGTAGGGCTTGGTGGACTTTCTTGCCTTAGACTCTTTAATTCTAGACTTTTCATTCCCAACTTAGAACCAAAGTGCATCCAGGCTCTTTCCTCAAGATCTAAGAGAGCTGTTAGTTTCTCAACAGCTTCAAACTCATCCAGCAAGGTCTGAATTGTACTACTACTTGAATCTACAGCTGAAGCAAAGATCAATTTAAATTATTTATTGTAAATGAAGCACATGGATCTACAAGAATACTCTTAAAGGAAATTTATTTTTTTCCAGTAAACCCCATTTATGTATAGTAGCCAAAGAGCTGAATTTGTGAGAAAAAGTTAGGTTTGTGTTCATTCTAATTAAGTTAGAATGTAGTGTTTTCTGACATTTCTCT